GGTAAGTGCTCAGAGTCATTTTGGGTACATTTAGAACATCTTAAAATTAGAGACAATGTGATATTACAAGATTTCATAAGGAAGGTTTGTGATATGAAATTTAAATAGGTGTGTGCTGTGATATCCTGTTCACTTTTCATGGAGAGAACATTGACTTGGAACTATTACATTATTTGGTCACTAACTTGACGGACAAGTCATTGTTTTATTTGGGTTGTTTCTTTTGCTTACAATTAGAAATGAGAAATAATTTATTCATACTACATTCTTAGTTTCAAGAAAGTTATACTATACCTCCACACATTTTTTAATACTGGCAATGAAACATGGAATTATAATAGAATTTAGGCTAGCTTTCTATGTGTATGGAAAAACATGTTAACTATGAGGTCTGTGGTCTGATTACTGCTTAGGTAAATCCAGGTAATTCTATCAAAGGGAAAAATTTGCCTCTAAAATGTCAGTCATGTCAATTTTCAGCATTTTCATGGCTTTGTATCACCCATTCATTTTTGGTGTTTTTGGTTGCTTCATATTTTATTCAGATATGCTGCTCTGTTTTTAGCATATTAGTGTTAATTCTGCTCCTGATATCTATAAATTGCTTCCTGGGAGGCATTCACTACTGTCACTTTTATAACAAAGAAAGGGCAAACTATACAGCTGGAGAAGAGAGATGCTGACCAAGCCAAACTGTGCAGTGGCACTGAGGCCAGCAGACTTGATCTAAGGTGCCCTGCATGAAATGAAGCATATTATCATGCAGCTACAGGAAGTAAAACTACTTAAGCATAAAAACGGGCTGTCCTACTATAAATATGACCTGATTTTGATATACATATTTTTCTGACGTTTAACGTATAATGGTTTACACCAAGTTGCCTTGTAGTTCAAATTAGTTAACAGTTGATTTTGAGAGCATAATTACAATTTGCATCACAGAACAGGTTCCATAAACATCACAGAAACATGCCTATAGTTTGTTCCTCCTATTTCTATACTACTAATAGTCATGTCACTTACAAAAATCACAGTGAAACCATGTTTTCCATGCCTACAGCCTATAAATTCAAAGCCGGTTATGTTTACTTATCTAGCTCCCAGTGATTGCACACATTTGACCCTAAACGACAAAATAAATGAAAGCTCTTTTTCAAAGTAATACAATCAGTTCAAAAATATTGTGCTAATAAAGTTATGCATCCTAATTGAAAGATTGATGGCAATCCATTTAGTAGTTACTAGGTTATTTGTGACAGACAGATGCAGAGTAACCTCATTATAGTCAGAATTGTGATGACTTGTAGCTGAGGGGAGGAATACAGCATTAAGCACTGCCATTGTCCATTCCCATAACCTATGTGGAAGATGATTTAAAGGCAAATATGTAACCACTAAATGTAAGATTGAGTCAGTTACCTACAGTATTATGATAAAAGTGATGAAGAAATCATCTGCGTGATCCCTAATTGGCCTACTTAAAATTCACAAATGAGATTTACAGATGCCAATTTGTGTAAGATAGACATAGGAGCAAGCGCCTCAATAAGGGGCTAACCTTTGTGGTTTGGTATTTCAGTTCATATTTTCAGCTGTTTTCTTCTTGATCATTAAGTCCGTATTGGCTTCTTTTAGACATCTCTGTCCACAATCACCAAGTTGTGATAAATTATTCAGCACTTTTCATTTGTGTGTTCACTAGGAGTTCAATGTCAGCCTTTCAGCATGAGTTCTCAGGGGAACTCTGTCGACATCTTAAAAGTTATGTAGTCGCTGAGAAAAAGAAGGAATATGAAGGCACATAATTATTTTCTGCTTGTTGAAATCTTGGTGGGATATAGTTCATGTATGACTAATTTTGAAATTCCCTTTTCTTGAATTATTAATATTGATTTAGAAATACTGACCATAAAAGCTCTATCTTCCTCACACAGTTCTGCTGCTCATTTATTTTCCTGTCTCCAAAATTTCTGACATCCTTAAGTATCCTCATAAGCACAACAATTTTTATTTCAGGGGCCACAAAATAGGACTCTGTCTCATATTCAAAGCTACTTTGTTTAGCTATCTCTTGTTTGTGGCACAATCTAATGCAACATCATCTTTGTACTTTTCAGGTTAGATTTAAATTTTCCCTTACTCTTAAGCATACTCAACTCCTCTCCTGTGTTTCATACTCAGGGCCACATATGTGGACATTACAGTTTATCTTTCATCATGAACTCTGCCATGGTTTTGCCTTCATTGTGGAAAGCCACTTAAATATTTGCTAAATATCAGTTGTCTGCCAACAAATTCAGCACAGTATTTCCATATAAATTTCTCTCTCTTAGTGAGTGAATTAAAAAGTTTAGGAACTTGTAATAGAACCTTAATGAAGAAGACAGAAATCAGTTGAGAAGTTACATTTTTAGATGTAAGGCCAAAGGATAAAGAAATATCTTCCTTCCAATTCTAGCTGAACTGTTTAATATAGATAGCTCATTAGCCATGTGATCTCATGCTAATTATTGAACACGAGTCTTAGTTGTTTTTCACCTACAGTGATGGATGATGTAAGTTTATTGGGACGCTTAAAACATATATATTGTAATTAAAGATGTTGACTCATTTATTAGTCATTAAGATTGAAAATGCTCAAAAATTAAACAGCCTTTTTATTTCATTAAGTGTATGGTCACAGTTTGCCTGCTGCATGACAAGTTCAGTGGCAGGGATAAGGATTTATTAGTTTACTGAACCAGAAAAAATTCCATGTCTTTCTAGAATTCCATGTCTTTCTAGAATTTTCATGCTTTTGACTATACAGCACAGAAACTTAGAAACTGTATGAGTGCAAAGTGATAAGAATAAAATTGCTAATCTCACTGCTAGTTTGTGTCTAAGTCTCTGTATGAATGTGTGTTTGTATAGTACATTTTCCACTTGTCATTTTAACTATTTTCATTTCACGAACAGTTTTTCATTTATTCATGTTGTTTTATTCTTTATTCTCTACTTTCCCCAGGCTTGTGTAATTGCTATACTAATTTCAGTCTCTATAACCACATCTCTATCTTTATATTTCTGGTAGCCCCACAAAACATTGAATCTTCTGTTGAGAGATTTCGCAAACTTTCCTTACACACAGATATGCACACACACACACATACACACTGTACTTTTTATTTTTGAAGGTCTTATTTAAAATGGGTAAACACAAATAATGTATTGATAATATCTAAGATAAATAAGGGCAGCAAGAGTGAATTTTAATTATTTGGTTTTCTATAAAATATAACCAAGTGTTTGGTTCAGTAATTTAAGTTGGGTTAACAGTTCTAATTTTTAAATTATAATTCACTTATTAGACAAACAATTGAGGAAAAGTTCTTATCACTTTTGGTCATTTAGTAAATAAAACACCAAATTTATTGGACAGCAGATAATACTCTACTGTTATTTATCTATTGTATTTATCTATTTTGTGTTTGTGTGTACAACAAAATGTGGTCTTTAGAAATGAAAAATTAATAAAATACTAAAAGAATTGACTTGGAATCAGGCTTTGATATTTATTTTATGTTGGGTTACTATTTTGCATTTAGGAAACAACCTAATCTATTTTCAGAGCCCTCTGACAAAATTGTAAGAATTGAAATAAGTGTATTATAATTTTTACCTACAAAATGCATTTATTAGTTACTTCATTTTCCATTTCCACAAAATACATGACAGAAGTCACCTCTTAAAAGAAAACTTTAGTTCTGTTGGACTCCAGTTGATACAGTTCATTTGTCATGGAAAGTATGAGAGTGTACCTGGGTCCCATAGAGGGGCGTGTGTGTGGGGGCGGGGATTGAACTCTTAACTAAGGCTAACCCAGGAACCACAGCTAATCAAATCAGGGTTAAACTATACTTGACAACTCCTCAAAATTCAGTGGCTCCCCCAAACATAAGCACTATCTGGTAACCACGTATTCTAATACATTACCTTGTGAGGGGATGGAGGGGGACTTCAGACTGGAATCCTGATGAATGTATGTGATTTATAGGGTTGTCATATTTATCCAATGCTTGTGTATTGAATGATGGTGTTTAATAATGTTGGGATAGTGTATGTCAGAAGATTTATTGTCGTTTTAATTTTTCAGAGTCAGGAGACAGGACTAGAAGGCATTTTGGTGATTATTGAGTGATAAGCAACAAAACGATCTTACAGAGAACTGGTGTAAATATTCCTGCAGCTCTCTCCAATTAATATGCTGTCTTTAGCATAATGTGTCAGTTTTATCAGATTGAAGTTCATCATCAAACCATAGAAGTTTCAATTCATATAAAGCTGCCATGTTGGCTTTTTGACTGAGTGTTCATTATAATTACATTAGAAATAATTTGTTAATGACAATGGGGGACTTTTATGAAGTATACCCCAGAGTTATATGTTAGCAACTCACAGCACTTTCCTGACAACAGAATTTCCAACTTAGCAATAGTATCAACAGACAGGTCAGTATTTCTGCTGAGTTACTAAATATCTTTTGACCTTTGATTTCAATTACACCAGGTTATGAAAAGTCTCAAATATGGTATCAATGGAAAATAAATACAAAAATAAATGAAAGCAATAAAGGATAAGTTAATCTATTTGAAGCAGGTTTGATGTTAATACTAAATTGAGTTTATTAACATCAAATATATTTTAAGTGTGTTCTTGTACTAGAGTGTCAACTAAATTGAGGTCTTACAAAAGTAAACATGTTGAGGAGATGAGCAGATGGGCGATTGATATATTATTAATATTTTAAAAAATACTATATGTGAAATAAAAAATAAGAGTTTATGTATAATCTTTAACTTCTTAACTCCAGAAATCTTGTGATGCATCTGCAAGTGAAAAATTGGGATAATGTACATCAATTGTCTTATATCAATATAATTTCTAGTATTCTAATCTTACTCAAACTAAAAACCACAAAAATAAAAATGAGAGCTGAATTATAAAAAATTTATGCACAGTTACGTTCGTTCGCCGCTTGGGCTCCATGGCTTCTCTGGGCAGGCAGGTTTGTGAATGGCACCGTCTAAAGGCCCTCTCCTGGGCCTGTTTGTCTAGGCAGACACCTCATCTCAGAGAATGGAAAGGGATGGGTCCTCCTTTGTTTTGTAAACTGACTCCAGTACCCGATGGAGAACACCTTCGAGAGTCATCCTGTGTTAGACCCAAAAAGTATGTGCTGGGGCCAGAATACAGGACACATCTTGTTCAGTGTCCTCATGAGGAACAGAAGACTGGTGTGGAACCCAAGTCCTTGGAGCTTGAAAAGATCGCCAGTTCCCTCTGGGACATGGGTTTTGACGAAGCCCATATTAACAGTTTGCTCAATATACGGCCAAGTGTCCATCCTCAACAGTTGCTGGACATAATTTCAGAACGTCTACTCTTAGGGTTGTGGCTATGAAGAAAAGTCCACAGTTACTGACACTGTCTACGATGCAAATGAAAAGGCGTTCCATTTACCTGCGGAAGCTTGGTCTTGGAGATGGCAAACTAAAGAGAGTGCTTCATGGTTGCCCTGAGGTTTTCACCATGCGTCAGCGGGACATCGACAGGGTGGTGAAGATCCTCAAGGAGAAGTGTTCATTCACAGTACAGCAAATCATTGAGCTTTTGCACAGATGCCCAGGTGTTTTTCAGGAGGACCCCAGTGAACTAGAATACAAATTCCAGGTGAAAATAATCGATTGGGCTCTGGATGGCAGAGTTTTCGAGCTTTTTAAGTTGAGTAAGGTCAGCTGTGTGGACAAGGAGCCGCTGAGCAGTGCTAAAAGCATCTTTCTAGAGCAATGCCTCTCAGTTCTCCCTTCCAAAGCAAACCTGCCCTTCTGCTTTACTTCCTTGACAGTGAGTGACCTGGCCCCATTCCAGGTCCAAGTACGCACTCTGAAACTTTACTACGCTTATTGTATCTTTTTTGTGTGGAGATTTGGAAAATGTGATAGTTGTCCTAATAGTTTAGCAATTGTTGGGACAGATAAGGCCAAAAGCACTTGTGCAGCTAGACAGGGAGGTGCACTCCTTTAATCTTGGCTCGGGAGGTAGAGGCAGGTGGATCTCTGAGGCCAGCCTGGTCTAGAGTGAATTCCAGGACAACTAGAGCTATGTAGAGATCGTGTCTCAAAAAGAAAAAAAAAAAAAAAAAAAAACCAGAACAAACAAGCAAATGGAAACACTGCCAGTATTGAGTTCAGATCCCCAGCACCCATGTAAAAACTGGGTGTGCAGTGCCTCAACCCCACCGACAGGAGAATCCCTGAAGGACTGTGAACCAGCTAGCCTGGCCTTTGACCTTCATAGGCATTCTGTGACATACTGACATACTCAAAAACTGTGTACTTGCACATTTAAAAAAAATTCCTAGGTCTCTTACAGTTTCTTTGGGTTGGATTTTTCTATACTCGTGAATTTTTATTCTCCTGTTTAAAGAAAAGCATATCCCTCTACACCCCTTTGTTTTTTGCTAAATTTTTCTCGGCATGAATTTGGAAATAACTTTGAAAAGTGTCAGATTTCACACAAGTGTTTGTATTAGAGCGGCTATTCTACCATTACTAATGGTGCAATTCATTTTTAATGATTTTGAACTAATGTTTGTTTTGAATTGGAATGATAGGCCTTAAGGTTCTATACAGATTCCTAAACATGTTTGTCTTCCAGTATGCATATTTTCGGATGGGACTTAAGCATCTGGACATAGTCAGGAGTGATTTCTTACAGTATTCAATAACCAAGATCAAGCAGAGACACGTGTGCCTAGAACGCCTTGGACGGTACCAAACCCCTGATAAGAAGGCGCAGACACAGATCCCTAATCCTTTACTAAAGGACATTCTCAGAGTTTCTGAAGAGGAGTTTTTGGCCAGGACAGCGTATTCCTCTGATGAGGAGTTTGAGGTTTTTAAAAAGCTCTTGGATCGAGAAGAGAAGGAATCTGAGAGCCATGCATCTGAGGAGGAGGAAGAAGAGGAAGAGGGAGAGGAGGAGGAGGAAGATTTGTTGTGATGGAGAACTGCAATGAAAAGGGCTCAGGAATGCTGGACATCGTTCTCATTCTCAAAGCTTTGGGGAGATCACCTGGATCCTCTCAAGCATTTCTCATACTAACACTGGTCTTTTCTTGGGGGAAAAATGTTACTATCCACTGGAGATTTAAGTGCCTCAAAACAAATAGGGGAGGCTCTATGGTCTATTGGGTTCTGTGGGAGTCCTACTGAATCCTAAATAAAGGACTCGGCTGTTAAACCCTCCCCCCCAAAAAATGCAATAATGATTTCCATTTTTTATCAAGTAATTTTATCAAGTAAATTATAGTGGTGATGCAGACCATTGGAAAGAGGGGAAATAAAGGGATTAGGTGAGTAGATATAAATGTGTAATTCAAGTTAATTATACTCTGAAGTCTAGACTATTCTAAGTATTTACATCATTTCTTTGTTAAAATTGTTATGTGATGAATTTGTACTCAGTGGGAAAAATAAATTAAAAACTTCCAAACTATCATCAAAAACAATCAGTAACAAATGCTTTAATGTCTGAAATTGACTTCATACAATGCGTACAGGGAAGATTCTGAAAGGATTGCATGATTTTGCTGGGTTAAGTATCTTGCAATAGTCAAAAAATTTTACTCTTATGATTACTAAACAACCAACCAACCAAACAAACAAAAAACATCCATCTTTCATGCCCTTCTCTTTGTTTGTACCTACCAAAAACTTTCATCAATATTTTTCTTCAGATAGTGTTTCTAAGAAAATGAACATTTCCATGTGGACAATTTCGGAAATGCAAATATTTACAAAGGACATTTGACTATTATACAGGATGGAAATGAGATTCCTCTTATTTTATTTTAACAATGTTAATTTGGTGTTTGTTGAATATATGGAAAAGTCTTCCATACACTGCTGAGATGAATAGAACCAGAAACATTTGACCTTTTTTCTTTTTCCTTTCCCCAAAGTTTCCTCATAAAAACCTGAAGGCAAGAATAGATGACTTGGTAATAAAAGTTTGCAGTGTATTTTCTTCAACTACTTTGTGCAGTTTGAATCTCTTCTGGTCTATAAAAAGCTAAGCATGGGGTATTGGAAATATATATTTGGCTTTTTTTTTTTTTACAGTGGTTTAGCCCTAAACAAACTTTTAAAGATGAAGGCCAGACATGGAATATTGCCCATGATCTATTGCTACCAGATTCCACTCTTGATATCCTCCCAGATGTCAGAAACTACATTATCAAAAACATAACGTAGAAGCTGAAGGACAGACATTAGGATCACACTTTTCAGAAAGTGACTTCCAGTGTTGGCATGTGCATATGCTGTACTTATACTCTCTCAGCTCTCAAGCAACAGTTCTGCAAGGAGGGTTTTATTAACATTCACATCTCTACCTGTCGACACTGCGGAAAAATCTCTCATCACCCTTTCCCCCAGCAGCTTCTTAATCAGAGCGTGATCTTCCAAAAGTTTTCATAGGATAATAATTTAATAACAAATCTGAGCCAGAAGACAAAGGAAGAGACTGTGTAGGAGGCCATTGTTAATTTCCCTCCCAATATAATCAAATCAGTATAGCTATCCAGTCAGAACACATAACCCTTAATAAGTCACTCTACTTGATTAAGAGAAATTGATTTTCTTCCCCGTGGATCCCAGTGATTATGATAAATATGGTATCTGCCATTCACTGTGCTTCCCCTTAGCTGCCAGTGCAATTGTTTGCAGGGTGGCAGGTATGGAAGCTGGAAAGAGGATGCTGTGCCACTGACTGTAGTTGGTAGTGCTTTGACAGCTGTGGAATTGAGTGGTCCCATGGACCAACTTTGAAGCCATCACATAGTACTGACAATACTACTGCTCTGGCAGCCTTCAGCATGCAAAGTGCATGGCTTGTGGCTATATAGAATTGTAGAATGGTGTGAATTTTTTTTTTTTGAATAAGGATGCAGTGAAATGACTACAGGAAATTCTGGAAATGAACTAGCAATGTATTAACATTTTCTTCCCAAAATACCAGATTCATTTCTTTTGTTTCAAAATTTACCTTTGTCTAAATCAGACTTAGACTTTTTATGAATAAGACTCTCATTAACTATTTACATACTATTTTTCTATTAGAGAACACTAAGTTGTTTCTTAGTTTTATTTCTTTTTAGAATTGATTCTTAATTTTTAGGGAAGGTTACTCTTTTCCATTTATATATTGATAAATTTCTTTGAATTAGACAAGGAAATAAGTAAGCTGTTTTCTACATGTAAACATTAGCTGAAAGATTTGTTTTCTCTCTACCATCAGTGAGCTACCATCTTAAAATTCATTTTACTATTTTTCTTCTTTGTCATCACAAGGAAAGAAAGCCATGGCTTTGGGATTAACAGACATGGCATGACATTTAGATTTCCTTTGTTTGTATTTAACTTTTGGCCATTTGGGAAATAGGAAAAATTACATCAAAGTTATGAAATCTCTGGGTCTTCTCTCACTGTTGTTGAAGCAAGTCTCTTCCTATTATCCAGTGATTCAAATTGGGCAGACCATTGAGTTCAGCCCAATCTTTGTTTAAAGCAGCTTTCTTAATGGCTGCCTATCCATGTGTAAGAATTGCTTGTTTGGTGAGAGAATATGGGGGGAATGCATTTGTCTCTGTTCTATATGCAGAAGTTGGAAAGATCACGAATGAAATACTTTTCAGTATATTTAAAATTGTCTGTTAATGCTGGCCTGTCCTTGTATTGACAGGTCTTTGATCCTGTCAGAAAATGTACTAGACCCTTACCAGGCAAAATCACTTACATTGCAGGGAGGGTCCAAGTGTGGATTTCCATGCTTGAGGGAAAATAAATATCCATGAATATAAGATCGGAAATAACAAGTTGGAAAACAGACAGGCCAAAAAAAAAAAAAAAATCAGTCTGGTTTTATGTTGGGAACTAATAGGGTTTAGTTAATAAGTGACAAAAAGGGTTAGCAACAGAGCTGTTTTTTAAACTGTTTGCAATATGATAATTCACAACAAAATATTTCATTAAGGGAAATGTGATCAGGTACAACCTAGTCTTTTGTCATCTCAAAATATATAGGAAAATATGCTTGTAGAGATTGTGTAGAAAGGGAAACAGAAAGGGAAAATGGTAAAATATGTATTTTAAATTATCCATAAAGTCATTGCAGAATAAAATCAATCATTTGCCACTCCCTGACTTAAACCAAAGACAAGGAAAAAATTCTATTAGGACTGAGGAGTGGAATTAAATTTTTACCACATTCATAAGAGCTAGGTAAGCATGGTAGCTGGATGTAAGCCTAGTAGCTTGGAGATCAACCCAAAAGAACCTCCAGACAAGCTGGCTAGTTAGAGCACTTGGTGAACTCCATGATCTGCTAAAATCCCTGACTCAACAAATGAAAGTGAAGACATTTTCAATTTTGTGCCTCTGTATGCAGACAAACATACACACAGAGGCATACTCCCACAGCTACCCCACACACACATAAACATGCCTTAAAATGTACATGCACACAGCACACATATACACATGCCCCCACAGAACTATTTTTTTTTTTTTTTTTTGATGTTGGAACAAAGCATACTATGAGCTGAAGGCTTTTATAAAATATTTTCTTCCGTGTACTTTATTGAGTTGGTATCACAACTATTTCATTTAAAATCAGGCCACACCCTCTTCTTAGAATATTATTTTGAACCAGAACTCACCCACCTTGCTTTGATACTAGTCACTCCTTTCACGCGAATGCCTGCAACTCCAGAGCTTATACATGGACATGTGATTTACTGACTAACATTTGCACAGGAATCCTGCACCGCTTGATGTATTTAGAAGTAAAATATGCAATGTGATGATATGGAGCCCATTCTATAGTTTAACAGCTCCTTGTTTAAATGATCAATATATTCTCACAGCACAGTGATTTCAAACGGATGCTGGTTGTGTGACCACTTCATGCTATCCAGCCAAGCTCCACGTTCTCTTAGGTAGTTGATGCCTTCAGCACTCAGGCTTGGAAAGGTATCACATCCCCACTTGCTCTGATGTTGGGCAGCGGCAGAGGCAGCTGGTTCTCTCGTCACTCTCCCTCCCTTGTTTTGATAATTATGAACAAAGGTCAGTCATTTCCCTACCAAGGCAAATCCTTACAATCTCATATGTCAGAGCCTAACAAGGGTGACTTCCTTGTCCACAGTAAAACATAAACATTCGTTTCTTTTTTCTCAGACCAATTGAAGTGCTACTTCATGCCAGTGGCAGAAGGGGGATGGATGAGGGCGGCTGTGGTCCTGCCTTGGTCCTTGGCAGCATGCACACAGTTCTGCGGATATTTTTTTTTTCCAGTTCAAGCTCCACAAATGGAAAATTTCATTCCGCTTGTTAAGCACGAACTGTGAGCCTCCTGACAGAATGCAAATGCTTTTGTCAGCAATTTGACCTTGTAGGACCAGTACAAGGTATCTTGTCTTTTATTATGATACATTTTTTTTGTTTTGAAGCCAGAGTTCATTTTTAGATGTTGTTGTTAAAAATAAAAAGAAAGAAAAAAAGAGCTAGGGAACTAAACCATGATGGCTAGGATTGATTGTCATAGGGTTCAAGAAACTCAGTTGTGAATACCAACTGCTGAACATACCAGGAAAGAGATATTTTATTTATATTGAAAGACTATATATTAGATGTTCAGTGATTGTATTATAGCAATTAATGACTTCCACTTACTTATATCAATGTATTTCAGTATGAACAGAGCAAGCATTCACAGAAGTTTGCGTAAATGAACCAGACCCTTATCATAAAAAAAAAGGATGCCTCAAGCTGAGCCATGAAGTTCTTGTGTAGTCACTGCTAGAAAGTTATGCATTCAATAGTTCCCATAAGCTCCATGACTAGCCAAATAGAAACATGGAGTTAAATGTAGCCCAAGATCCAAATTTGATTACTGTTCTGAATTTGCTTTCTTTAATAAAAAAAATTCTCACAATATCT